GCACTGATTCGCTAAGCTGAACAGCCAATCAGAGTGGTTTCTTTGGCCGACGGCCTTTAGCCGACAGCCTCCCGATTCAACATGTCGAATCGGCGGCAGAAGGTGTCGGCACGGCCGAAAAGACACGACGGTGCAGTACACACCAAGACACACCAATCTGAGTAGGCCGACACGACGCTCATCGACGGCCCGACATCTATCGACGCCGAAAATCGGCTTGGTGTGTAAGGACCTTAAGACACCAACACCTTGACTTTTACCCTCAACACCTTTTTATATAAGATCTGGGTGATCCAGGAATTTATACTTGTCTGTAGTTACTCTTAAAATGGTTATTTAGGGAGGAGTTTCAATTGTATCCAGAAATGTAATTATAGATATATGTACACACACACACACACACACACACACACACACACACACACACACACACACCCACACACCCACCCAGCTGGCCTTTTGTTTTAATAGATTGGCAGTGTAGGGATGATTGCAGTTCTTCAAATATGATGTCATGACGGCAGCTGTGCTTTTGGGCTGCTCTCTTCCTACAATACAGTGTGGAAGATAGAGATTTGTGTGTGTGTGTTTTAAGATATGCATTTGTGAGTTGACTAATAGAGAGAGAGGGAAAATCACTGAGCGCAGAGACAGATTGGATACAAGAATCTTACTGTATAGCCAGACTGTCCCACCATTTAAAGTGCAAGGTATTTTATTTTCCTCCTGCACTTATTTACACAGTTAAACTTGAGCTTTATTCTAAACAGTATTGTTAAGGGCACCTACTTAATCCTTGGCTGTAGGGATTGATTACCAGGTGCAATTATTAGTAGATCTCCAGGCATTTCTGCTAGTAGATTCCACCAATTACCAGGAAAATACCTCCACTGGCAGCGACTGCACCATCGTTACATCCTTTCCAATTATTCCACATCAGTAATACGGAGTAAGAACCGGGTCAGAGAGCAGAGAACATCCTGCCCCCCCCCCCCCCCGAGCAGTCAGCCGAGCTTCACACGGCCGAGCTCCGCTGCAATCCGCTTTCACTTCTTAGAGGCCATGTGGCATACTTTTAACAGGCTCTGTCATTTCACAGTGCAAACACGGATAAGCCCGGGGGAATGTTGTGTGGCATCATGGAGCTGATCCGCATCGATCAGAGTTCTGCAACAGAGCTTTGTCCCTGAGCATATAGTGCATATATATGTGCTTCAATGTCACGGCTACACATATCATACAGACAATCAATTTGCTCTGTCCTGGAAACTGGATCAAGTAAAAAACAAAAACAATACCAACTTAAATATGGAATACATTGTTTTTACTCATTTAAAAAAGATAATTAAGTCACCTATGAACGCACATGAAGGAAGGCACTTGAGAAAATGTAACCGCTTTGATCTACAAATCCGACTAAGTCATGTCAGGTTGTGCTATTTCAAATACAGATACAACATGTCTGTGGGTTAGGTGAAATGCATGTATTACATAAGGCAAAGAGGGGGAGTTAAATGCACCTAAAAAAAATCATCTCAATCATCATTTGTGATCTACTAGAAGTGTGTGGTGGTGTCTGAAAAATCAAAAAGGCAGCAGAGACCCTGCCCTCTGCCTTTTATGATTTTTCCGTGTTCACACATTTCTGACTTTTCAACGTCCATAAAAACGTCTAGGTGACAGATTGTAAGCAAGCAATCAATACGCACCATGACACCGGTTGAACCGAGGATGAATGGCGCAATTAGAATATTGTGTTTGCAAATGACAACCAACATAACCTAATCAAAAATACCTTTTAAATTTGGTGCAAAAACAATGCACTATTGAAAGGATTAATGGATTTCTTTAAGGATGCCTTTAATCTTACCTGTCTTTAGAGTAATGAAGTGTATTCAATATCTTCAAATGGATTATTCCAATGCTTAATCAACTGGAGGTATAAAAAGCAATAATTCAGGTGTTCCAGATAACTTCCACATTTTCAGTCCCAATGCGTCCCCAGGCTTAACTCAAATGGTTTGTTCAATATGGGGTAAACAAGTTACTCTGCCTTTCTCCAGTGGGCTCACACATGTTGATCTCTGCACAGATACATGCACTACAGTATATACCACTGACCTTGAGGGCATCCTAATATGTGTATTCATTGACAATTAAGAGGCTTCAAATTAAATATTCATAATGGAAAATTGCACACAGTTGAGAAATGCTTGCTGAGAAATGTGATTGGATCTAAAAGAAGATGTGTATTGAGTCAGCTTCTTCGAAAAATGCAGGAAGTCTGTAAGAAATGATAGCATCGTTTTGTTGTCACTGTTGCTGATGGTGCCCCCATTTGTCAAGTTCCCGTAATTCCTTCAGTGCCCGAATGTTCATCTCTCAAGATCTGATTAATGAGGATGAGGCTGAAGTTAGATGATTATTTAGAGACGCACACTGAGCACATGGTGACGTTAACAGGTTTTGGGCATCACAACATCCACCATGGATAGTTGGATACTGTATCTATTGTCATGGCAACCAGGAATTAGCATCCTTGGATACCGCTGTCTCTCCTTCGTCAGCTGCACTCTTTTCTTCCTCACCATTGTTCTCTGTCACCCCCCCTCCTCCTTTTCTCTCTCTGACCCCCTCCTCATGTTTCCACACAGCCTTCCATCCTCTCCTCAACCCTCTCCTGTTTTTCTTCTGTCTGTTTTCCCCCGCCCTCATGACTATTAATTGCCTCTTCTGTTTATACCCCCCCCCATACCCCCTCCTCAACGTCTAATTGCTATTCACCGAGGGTGTTTCACAAATTCCACCTCACCTGACAAATCTCAAGACGACGGCACACGCTTCAGTCTTCTGTCTGTTATGCTTGTTTTCCCAGCTTCCTGATGTTAAATGGATCAATTAGAATCAACAGAGATCCTCTCTAATGTGAGCTGGCCGGCCCACTCACTCAATCTTTCCAACTGTTGCTAATAGTACTCCTCCGTGGGCATGTCGGGTATTACTGTTTGGGGCGTTACCAGAGCAACGGGCTACTCTATTTATAGGTATTAACCAAGTTAGATGCCAGTGGTTGTTTGTGGGAGCTTGTTTGGAGAAATTAAGAATGAGCTGCGCACATAAATAGTCCATTGACTGTGATTATAAAGGATTTGTTTTCTTAGTCATGGCTGGATTCAGACTTTCACGGTGTTTTGAACTTGAGGGGCCTCAACTTAACGAGGTTTATTACAATGTGACGGGCTATAAAAACAAGCTATAAAATATGTAAAAGAATTAAAATCTGTGGGAAATAGTCCTGTTAGCTATTTATAGAACTCCTATCCACCATGCCTTGTTTAAACCCTAGTCTTGCTTCATTGGTCTAAAAACCAGGGGATTTCACATTCATATTCACAATCGATACTTCATTAGGCTAGGCTAGGCAAGGCATGGCACGTTTATTTATATAGCACTTTTCAACACAAGGCAATTCAAAGTGCTTTACAAAAAATGAAAGACATTAATAAAATGGCTTTTAAAATCAGTCATTAAAAAGGAAAGCTAATAAAAGAAACATTAAAAGAAAAAATACATGGATAAAAGTTACAGTGCAGTTTAAGATATGAATAGTTCAATTAAAAGCAGCGACAAAAAGAAAAGTCTTCAGCCTGGATTTAAAAGTAGTCAGAGTTGCAGCGGACCTGCAGGTTTCTGGGAGTTTGTTCCAGATATTTGGAGCATAATAACTGAACGCTGCTTCTCCATGTTTAGTTCTGACTCTTGGGACAGAACGCTGACCAGTCCCTGAAGACCTGAGAGATCTGGATGGTTCATAATTTAGCAGGAGGTCAGAAATGTATTTTGGGCCTAAACCATTCAGTGCTTTATAAACCAGCAGCAGTATTTTTAAATCTATTATTTGACACACAGGAAGCCAGTATAAAGACTTCAGAACAGGAGTGATGTGATTCACTTTCTTAGTGTTAGTGAGGACTTGAGCAGCGGCGTTCTGAATTAGCTGCAGCTTCCTAATAGATTTTTTAGTGAGACCTGTGAAGACACCATTGCAGTAGTCGAGTCTACTGAAGATAAAAGCATGGACAAGTTTTTCCAAATCCTGCTGTGACATTAGTCTTTTAATCCTAGATATATTCTTTAGGTGATAGTAGGCTGATTTAGTAACAGTTTTAATGTGACTGTTGAAGCTCAGGTCAGAGTCCATGACTACACCTAGATTTCTGGCTTTATCTGTTGTTTTGAACATTGCACACTGAAGCTCAGCACTAACTTTTATACGTTCTGACTTGGCTCCAAAAACCATTACCTCAGTTTTATCTTTGTTTAATTGGAGAAAGTTCTGACACATCCAGTCATTGATTTGTTCAATGCACTTACTCAGTGTTTGAATTGGAGCATAGTCTCCTGGTGAAATTGTTACGTAAATTTGTGTGTCATCCGCAGAGCTATGGTAACTTATTTTGTTGTTTTTCATTATCTGAGCCAGTGGTAGCATGTAGATGTTAAAGAGAAGAGGCCCCAAGATGGAGCCTTGAGGAACCCCACATGTCATATTTGTCAACTCGGATGTGTATTTACCTATAGAAACAAAGTTGTTTCTGTCCTTTAAGTAGGATTCAAACCAATTTAGAACTGTTTCCGAAAGTCCCACCCAGTTTTCCAGTCGGTCTAGTAATATGTTGTGGTCAACAGTGTCAAACGCAGCACTGAGATCTAATAATACTAACACTGAAGTTCTGCCACTGTCTGTGTTTAAGTGGATGTCATTGAAGACCTTTACAAGAGCAGTCTCAGTGCAGTGAAAGCCTGACTGGAACACATCGAAACAGTTATTTAAATGCAAGAAATTACTCAACTGTTGAAAAACAACTTTTTCAATGATTTTACCTAGAAATGGCAGGTTTGATATGGGCCTGTAATTGTTCATTACTGAAGCATCAAGATTATCATTAGAAATCATTAGTGTTTTCAATGCATCTCCCTTCACTCTCTTTCATTTGCAGTTGACCTATCCATTTCTGAGGAGGATACCGGGAGGAACCAGCTCTGAAAATGCCCGTGGCGACATCCAGCTCTGACTCCGGTAAGTGGCTTTCTCTCGCTGTGATGAGGGCCATCTCTCACTATGTGTGTGTGAGAGAGAGAGAGTGTGTGTGTGTGAGTCAGCAAGAGAGATATCCACAGAGAGACAAGAGGGAGGAGATGCTGAACGGTTTGTGGTTATTCCAGCACCCAGGACATGTATCTCATCTCCAGAGCTCTAATGTGACTTAATGAGCTGGCTAATGGAGCGCTAAAACTCCCTTAGATCAGTTCTGCCTCAAAGGATTTGCTGTTGTATCATTCGCAGACCTCCACACACGCACACACGTGCGTCATATCTGCACTACTGGCCGGCTGTAGTACAACGCTGCACGCCCTTTCACACAAATGTAGTTATTATGGATTGAAAACTGATCAATGATGACTGAAATAGTACCGTGTGAAAGAGGGGAGAGGGTTCAGTTATTTCTGATTGAGTTTGTTTCATAGGTCAGGGTTTCTTTGGTAATTAAGATTTCAACTTTTGGAAAGAATATGGCAGTTTTTCTATGAAATGGATTAATGAAAAAGCGTTATAGTTTGACAGTTTAATACTACTCCATGGCGGCTGTGAATGTCATTTTTAAAGAGGCCCAATTATGGTCATATTCAGGTTCATATTTGTATTTTGTCCCTCCACTCTGCCTGGGCTGCAGCACGTCTTTTCACCCTCTGTCTGAAACCAGTCTGCTCTAATTGGTTAGCTGGAATGCTCTGTTGTGATTGGTCCACTTCTTAGGGATGTCCCGCTATTGGCCTATCATGCACAATGTGTTGGAGCACAAGCCAATAGAAGGTTGAGTGTTATGTCACTATGTTACAGGGGAAAACAAGGGACTCCAATGGAGGAGTTTCAGGCAGGGGGGGGCTGTTTGGGAGAGATTTTTGCCTTTTGCAGACCATTTACATGCATCAAAACCTTAACAACACATTACAGCAGGGGTGGGGAACATCCGACCTCCGGACCGTATACGGACCGCGAGACCATTTGGTACGGCCCTCGAGGTAATTTATAAACACACGCAAAAAATAAAAAAATAAATCTAGACCGCAAAAGAATTAAACAAGCGAGTGCCTGTTTTTCTTGGCCAAGGTCAGGGTCCTTGAACACAACACGAGCCTAACGTGTCATCACGTTGTGTAGGGTTGCGGTCGGCTAATCCAAAAAATCAGATCCTAACGTCTAACCCTATCGTCTATCCCTTGACCTCTGAGTGAACCGTCACGGGGTTAAGGGATAGTGGATAGGAGAATTCGAAAGGACTTAGGAGAAGAGACTGCGGAGCAGGGGTTCCCAACCCCCGGTCCGCGGACCGGTATCGGGCCGCGGACTGGAGTAGACTAATATTTGCAGAATTATAAATATATACAAATATTTTATCATAATATTTTTTTCAAAAAGTGTTACATTTTCGCACCTATAACAGTCATATTATTTCATCCAGTAGCCTAGTTAATCTTTCACCAGAAAAGAGTTGAAATTATGTTCCGAGGGATTCGGCGGCTCAGGGTCTCAGCCTCTCGTGCCCACGAGAAAGTTACCGGTGCGCCAAGTAGGAAGAGGAGCGCACAGGAGACAACCGTTTCATTGCAGACTGTTATGTTTATGTGGAGAAATGCAGTGCATACATTATTTGAGATATATTTCGGACTTCATTTTAAGGACATGTCGGCCAGGGGTGTAGAGCTATTTGTTTAAGCACCGGATTGGCAAAACAGGAGAGTCTGTAAACCAGTCTGCCTTGATCTATGAATTCATGTCCGGGACTCTCACGGTATCTGCTGCCCGCAGCTGTTTATAAAAGGAAAACCTCCTTCACTTCATGAAATGGCTGCAGCATCAGGAGGCAGCGGGACGTGTAACTCCGCCTCTGAGAAGTGCAGCACCAGCGCGCCGAGAGCTGTGCCTTTTTACGCACCGCCTTCACTGCGTTTACCTTCATCAGAACAGCGAGTGACTTCAGGCTGCTACGTGTTAACCACACACACCTCTACACACATCTCTATACACATCAAACTGCCGATTACTCCCCCTTTTATTAGTTTTATGAAGGAGATGTCTGGTCACCAAGGCGCATGATGTGTGTGTGTGTGTATGTACTCTGCTCAGCTCAGCTCTGTGTGTTCGGTGTGTTTGTGTCTGTCCGACACCGGCATTTGTTTTGAAATGACCATGAACAGTAATGTACACACATCTGGCTAACTCCATAGGTATATGCGGGTGTTCCCATAAGAAGTTAGTTTAATCTTAATCTCGATGTAGTGCTAAATGCACCGGAACGAACAACACTATCATAATATCTTCTGAAAACAAATGCCAGTGTCACTCACACACACACACACACACACACACACACACACACACACACACACACACACACACACACACACACACACACACACACACACACACACACACACACACACACACACACACACACACACACACACACACACACACACACCCTGGCGACCAGACATCTCCTTCATAATACGCCTTCTCCTCGTTTTCCCAGCATTCACTGGATTATCCGTAAATCATACAAACAAAACCAAAACGTTGATTTATCTGTTTTCCGGTTTTTTTGTTTTCCGTTTTTCCGAAAAATCATAAAACGACACCGGTTCTTTTTTAAACGTTGTTAATATGTTTTGGATGCATATTGTTCTAGTATTTGTTCAGGCTGTTACAATTAGCCTCTGTTGCTACCTGCTGGTGGTGAGTAAATATTAAAATCAGTTAAAATTGATAACCGGTCCGCGACTTTTTTTTTTAATGGATCTGCCGGTCCTTAGCACAATAAAGGTTGGGAACCCCTGCTTTAGAGAATCCGGTTGCGTTCCAATAGTCCATTTAGCTTAGGAACCTTCCTAACGGAGTGAAATGACCCGGAAGTCCCTCAGTGGCAGCCATGATAAGAGCTGTTCCAATTCTCTAAATGAAAGGAAAGGAGGTTTCAAACTTACGTATTGGGATCATTTGTATTAATGTGGACCGGAGGGAGAGGGTGACGAGCATAAGTTTCACTTTCCTTTTTTATTTCAATTCCAACTTTGGTCATGAAGAATATGTTTCTCTGTTGTCCACGTTCATAAAGCATAAAGCAACAGCATCAGAGCACGGTGCAGAGTCTCTAGATGAGTTTACAGTAGTCCCTCGTTCTTATTATACATCCATGTTGTAGTCCGCTGTATAGAAAACTGTAGTTTCCATAGTTACCCCACAGCAGCAGACGCACATTCATGACGTCCGCTGGAGCATCATAAACACGTCGGATAGTGAAAGTGCATTCGGATTCTCTGAAGTACCGCAGTCTCTTCTCCTACGTCCTTTTGAATTCTCCTATCCACTATCCCTTAACCCCGTGACGTTTCACTCAGAGGTCAAGGAATAGGAGATAGGGTTAGAATTTAGGAGCTGATTTTTGGATTATCGGAACGCAACCTCCGACTGCACTTTCACTATCCGACGTGTTTATGATGCTCCAGGGGACGTCATAAATGTGCGTCTGCTGCTGTGGGGAAACTATGGAAACTACAGTTTTCTATACAGCGGACTACAACATGGATGTTTAATAAGAAGGAGGGACTACTGTAAACTCATCTAGAGACTCTGCACCGTGCTCTGATGCTGTTGCTTTATGAACGTGGACAACAGAGAAACATATTCTTCATGACCAAAGTTGGAATTGAAATAAAAAAGGAAAGTGAAACTTATGCTCGTCACCCTCTCCCTCCGGTCCACATTAATACAAATGATCCCAATACGTATGATTGTTTGAAAAGATCTTAAAATCAATACAGATGTATTTATTATAAACGTTAGTCCTTAACATCTATCACTGTGTATATCACCATTCAAACATCTGTTAAAAGTTGAACAAACTCCAGACAGCTCAGTAAAGACTGTGAAATGTTGACTTTATTTGATGATTTCAGTAAAAACTAACGTTCATATTTCTCTTTTTGATTATAATACTGATGAACGTTCAAAACAAAGCACTTTGGCAACTTACCACAGACGTTTTAAAATGCTTAATAAGCACCGTAACTTTCATGATATAATTTCTCGGTCATAATCGGTTGTTTCCGTGAACGGCCGACTGTTGAGTGATGGCAAATGCTGCGGCTGCAAGGCATTGTGGGGCAGCATTTTCTCCTCTCCTTTCGTCAAGGGAGGTCCAGTGGTTCCTAAGCTAAAGGAGGTTATAAAGGAAGTTTGAAACCTCCTTTCCTTTCATTTAGAGAATTGGAACGGCACTTATCATGGCTGCCAGTGACGTACTTCCGGGTCATTTCACTCCGTTAGGAAGGTTCCTAAGCTAAATGGGCTATTGGAATGCAACCCCCGTCTCGTCTGACATGGGTGCCGTTCTGACGGAGAGCGCCAGAACGCCGTTCCGGCACTTCATTTAAAATTGCAGTACCCATAAGGAGCCGTACACATGCCGCAGTTTTTGCGTGGCTGTGTCTTTAGTTGAAAGCCCAGTGGCGATCTGCTCATCTGACATACTGATCATACAGTCAATAACTTTGTTGTTATTAGCATCTGGTTAGCTAGCTATGCTAACGAATATAAGAAGCTTTTTCTCCAACCAGTGAGGTAAAGGCACATCTTTATATGATCATCATAGTTATAAAAAAATAAGAGAATAAAGTAAACAGGTATAAAATACTATATGACAGTAAAAAACAGTTGTTATTAATAAACAAGAATACAGTTTGAAAGGGGAGTGATTAGTAAAATATCCATAAAGAAAAAGTAAATCTGTTTACGGTTCTGTTTCATATGGGTGTTGAGAGATGTATCCATAGATCTCCTAATGTTGCTCTCAAAGTGCACCAGATTGATGCTTTCAACTTCAACATTTAAAAATCCCCCCCTAGAGGAGGTTAGGTCCCCCCCTACTTAAATCATGTTCACATGGATAGGAAACTAAATACATTTGCACACATCTTGTGTCCATATCTTTCTGTTTTGGTGGTCATGCCACAACAGTG